TCGTCATTTAAAAAAAAAACGCCCACAAAATCATTGTTAATTTACTCCAAACTAATGTTGCTCTGCTAAAAAAACACAATTCAACTAAGCATTTTTTAAATTGTACAGCCTTCATTTATTTCAAACGTAGCTTTCACGACAATCCAATTTGCGGAGAAAGAAGTTTGGAACGATTTTAAGGGAATAAATGAATCGGTTTCGTCCAAGAGAAGGAAGCGTAGAATTATGTTTTAATATGAAAAAACAAGGTGCAATACCATGTATGTATTTTGAAAAAATCTTTCGCAGTTTGTGTAATGTCGAATAGGGCCTAAATTTAGTTCGGGAGCGGTGGACGATTTGTCGCCTCACCCTCCTGCTCACACACGCTCCCAATACTTCGTTCTTCAATTCGCAAAATGCAGGGTTTCTCGGAATCATGTCTTTGATGAGAATATGCGAAAGCGAACGACCACTCGGCGCCCCAAAACCGCTCGATTTCTCTCAGCGCGATGATTTTCATCGATGTTTTTATCTTTCCCGTACAATTATTAAGGGAGGCAATGAGTATCGATGGATGGGGTATTTAATTTCCCAATCGAATACGCCTCGTTTCATGTCACTCCGTTACCGCCGGTGAAGACTTTCCATTTAACGTCCCTTATCTCCTTGATTCCTCCCACTCTATCTGTATCGCTTGTACGCCGCTGTCGACAGTCTCGGTCTTCTGCCATGCCTTATTCACTTCGGCAACTTAGTGAGGAGCGCTAGGCAATACGTCACACGACGTACTACCCCCACTCCGTCGATTAGATGTATATGAAGCCCTGCACCACAGCCACTCGCTCTCTGTTCATGCTCGGCTTGCCTTGAGCACTGAACTCCCTGGCTGGCTCTTTAAGCACTCCGCTTAACCTCTCTCAGCCTTTTTCGCTGACTAGGACGCTCTCTTGTCTCTTGGGATCGAGAACTAAACACCCAGACATCTCTCACTGCCGCTACCTCTCTCCTCTTCTCATCGGGGTCTGAGGAGACCACGAGGTCGCTCTCTAGTCGTATATCTCCTCCACCGGACCGAAGACTCAGCTCACTACTTGTTTCTCCCCTTTACAGGGTTGAGAAATAATTGCATCAGACTCGCTCCCTGCGCTCAGATCATCGATTCAAGAAGTGTCTCTCTGAGACATAATTACTTGTTAGCCGCCCAGCTAGGTCTCAACTAGTCTGGTCACTACATTGGTGAGTCCGACGTGATGGTTTTTTGTCATTCAGGGCACAATATTTTTTTTTGCTTATTTTCTTTGGCATTATGCCCGATTTCGAAGATACGGGAATCGTGTGTGAAGCTAAGGTTTCGTCCATCACCATTCGAACTCCCCCGTTTTGCACCGACAAGCCAGCTCTCTAGTTCGGTCAAGGCGAAGCGCAATTCCGTACGAAGGGAATTTTGACTAAGTCGGACAAATTCAATCCCAGGGTCCCACTGATTGATACGCCCGCAGCCGCCGAGGTCGAGGAAATAATTACCAATTCTCCCGCGATCACACAGTTTCAAGCATTCAAAATTGGCCTTGTCGAACGATTCACAAAATCGAAACAGGCCAACCTCCTTCAGCTGTTGAACCGTAAGAAGCAAGGTGATATCATTCTCTTGCAACACCTTCGACACCTCAAAAAAAAGAAACTCGAGCGAGAGTCGTTAGTGGCGACAACTGACTCTCTCCCGCCTTCTTGCCGTCTGTTCCTCAAGGAGAAAAACACGCAAGAGCGCTATCTGATCGATATAGGATCCGACCTATCACTGTTCCCTTCACCCGCTAAAGCGAAGCCCACCGGCTATCAGCTATATGCAGCTAATGGCACGACCATCGACACATACGCTAATGTCCGCATCAATCCTAACTTGTGATTACGACGAGACATGACTTGGCATTTGGTTTTGGCAGATGTCTCCCACCCTGTCATCGGCGCCAACTTTCTTTACCACTTTCACTTATTGATGGATCAGCGTTATGGATGCCTTATAGATGGTACTACTGGGCTCTTTGTTGAAGGGTGAGCTTGTCAAGTTATCACCGCCTACGGTAAAGACAGTCGATGCGCTCTCGAATTCTCAATGGCATTCCCTATTGAACGAATTTTCGCACATCACAAAGCCAGATGGCCAGCTGAAGGTATCTGCGCACATAACGCAGCACCACATCCCAACTACGGCTGGACCACCTATTTCGTGTCACGCACGCCGTTTGGCCCCGAAGAAACATGCCATCGCACAGGCCGAGTTCTCTAAAATGGTCAGACTTGGTGTTGCACGACGTTCAAGCAGTCCTTGGGCCTCGCCTCTTTACCTCGCAACAAGGAAGAACGGTGAATTGCGACCATGTAGAGATTATGGCTCTGTAAACGCGAGAATGATCACGGACAAATACCCAGTATGCTACTTGGAGGATTCCACCACAAAATTTCATGGCAAAACGGTTTTCTCGACAATCGATCTCGTAAAGGCATTCAACCAAATACCTGTCGCGCCAGACGATATCCAGAAAACCGCTATCATTACGCGATTCGGTCTGTTTGAATACCCGTTCATGACTTTCGGCCTCCGGCACGCCGCGCAAACGTTCCAAAGCCTAATCGACGAAGTCACACTGGACCTCCCGTTCGCGTTCGCTTACATCGATGACATCCTCATCCCATCGGAGAATGAGGAGCAGCATCGTGAACACCTCCAAGTACTTTTCCAGAGACTCCAGGAGTTCGGCCTGGTCGTCAGCGCGGCGAAACCAGTCCTGAGAGAGTCGAAAGTAGTCTTCCTCGATCACGTGGTAAAGACGAACTGAATCAAACCTCCACCAGACCGAGTTGAAGCCATTGTCTGTTTCCCTAAGCCAGCAACCATCAAACAGTTGCCTGATTTCAGCGGGACGATCAACTTCTACCGGAAGTTCATAAAACATGCTGCAGTCCTCTTAGATCCCTTGAATGCTCTCTTGCAGGGCCCTACTATAAAGGGGCGCATGGACATCAGAACTGGTGGATACATTTGAGAACTGCAAAAAGGCCCTCACTGAAGTCACTTTACTGGCACATCCAAACTGTGCGGCAGAGTGGGCGATTGTCACGGACGACTGCGATCACGCAGTCGTTGCCGTGTTACAGCAATATATCGGCAACCGCTTGCTTTCTTCAGTCGCCAACTTACGCTGAACAACATGAAGTAGTCGACATACGATCGTGAACTTCAGGCTATCTTTCTCGGCGTGAAACACTTCAGGCACATTTTCGAAGGACATCACATGACGATCCACACTGACCACAAGCCGCTCTGCGTTTAAGCAGAACCTACACCGTGCTTCTACTTGGCAGTTCCGCCGCCTAGATTTCATTGTTCAGTTCACTACTGTACACTACACGCCTCGCTTGCATTGAAACCCTCTCAAAGACTGTATCACTAGCCGAAATCGAGCGGGCTCAGACTGATGACGCTGAACTCTAGCAGCTTCTCCACCGTAAGATATCTCAGTCCAACTGCGACAGTTACAGTTCTCTGAGCAGAATGCGTTTCCTTGTACTGTGATGTATCCACAGGCACAGTACGACCCTACGTCCCAGCCCCTTTGAGGTCTTCGAGTCTCTTCGCTCATTGACTCATTCTGGACAAAAGGTGTCACGGAAGCTAGTCGCTCAACCCTACGCTTGACCAGCAATGAATAAAGATTGCTGATTGCCTCACCGAACTCTTTGGCTCTAAACGACAGCTCACTACTCCGTATCACCCCCAGGCAAACGGTCGGGTCGAACGTTTGCACAGGTAACTGAAGGCCGCCTTATCCTTTCATGGAGAATCATGATATGACAGTTTGCCTCTCGTACTCGTCCATTTACGAACGGCGTGGAAGGAGGACCTCTAAACTACGTTCGCCGAGTTGACGTACGGTGAGAAGATTCGGTTACCTGGTGAATTCCTCGTCCTGCCTGACAAAGCGCAGTCTGCTGGTTCTCTCCTCAAGAGCCAGCGTGGGCACTTTCGTAAGCTAACGCCAGCTTGTATCAACTTGGGAAACAATTTTCCCCCCCTGTGTTAAGCAAATTTCAAATTTTTTAATAAGAATGAACTCGTGCAAAAAAAGGATTCCGAGGGACCGATAAATCTCAACGTTTCAGGCGGTTCTCCCTCGTTTGACCGTACATTTGTGAGAGAATTTTTATCCATTTGGTTTATAATTTTGGAATTTGTTGACAAAAATAAAATCGTTGAAAAACACAATTCCAAGAGACCAGTAGCATGACGATTTTCGACCAATTTGTTGCACAAAATTCAAATTTATTAACAAAAATGAAGGCGTTGAAAAGACGGTTTTTATGGACCAATAAATGTCGACGTTCTGGACTATATTCTCTGTTGGTGCAGCCTAAATTCGCGCAATGATTTTTGGACAGTTCGTTGAACAATTTTGGACTTTGTCCACCAAAATACAACCGTTGAAAAACGAAGGTTTCAAGGGAATGTGACAGTACGACGTTTCAAACAATTCTCAATCGTTTGAGAATAAATTTGCGAGACAATTTTTCCCCCACTTGTTGAATAATTTTTGAATTTAGTAAGAATAATCAAGTTGTTAAAAAAAAAAGGTTCTGAGGGACCAATAAACCTTGACGCGTCAGGCGATTCTCAATCGTTTGAGTATAGATTGACCGGCCGATTTTTTCACAATTCGGTAGAGAAATTTGAATTTATTAACATGAAATCATCGTTCGTTTGAAATTGGTTGTTTCACCATCATACCCCCACTCCACATTACATGGTGTAACTTTGTTCCTTTCCAGACAGCATCGTTATTGCGATTACCGCCTTAATTTAGTCACATCCACGGCTTTTTCGAATTATCGACACTCTCGGGTTCACGCTCTGCCTTATGCATACCCACGGCCTCAAAATTAGTCCAGCCAGTACCGCTATGAAATTTTTCGGTTGAACTGCTGCATTCGCGTTGGAAATCTCCCTTATAATCTCTGATTCCATGCTCCGTACCAATGTTTCAAATCGAAGTAAGACGTCGCCATTGGCAGCGACTGCGCTGGCTCACTCTCACTACAAGTTTCCCAATTCCGAAGGAATTACATACCACAGACGTTGTGACGATGCAGAATTTTGCGCCCCCCCCCTTTCCCCTCTAATTAGTAGGCGTTATTTTTCATAGATTAATTTAGGTTTAAGTTTAAGTTTAGGTTTAAGTTAAGGTTTAAGTTGGCAACCCATCCTCAGATATTCCTTACCTCCGCCCCGTTTCCCTCTGCCCCGGGACTCACTGATCACCCTGGAGGACAGAAGATCCCACGTGACAAGAAAGAGGACCCCACATGAGCCCGGAAGAAAGAAGATGTCCCGCGATTCCCCCTGGATGAGAAGAAGAAGGACACGCGTTGACCCCCGAAAATCAAGAAAGAAGAAGCAAGAACGATTGGCAGCTATCACTCGTACCAGAGCTGCTCTACGGGTCAGTTTCTGATTAGACTTGTGTGAGAGAAGGAGATTTGTGTGGTGGACTGTCTGGAGGATTAATTGTGTTGAGGAGAACTTTCTGGAGACATGTGTGGAGAATTTTGTGGAGGATTTTCGGATAGGAGATCCTGAGACGATTTGTGACCAGGAACAGGGAGAACGAGAGAAGACTGTGGAGAGGACGTCACCACCCATGAGTGCCCCAAAAATTATTCCCTGCCCCAACGAATATTACCTTGTCCCCAATTATAATCACTGCCCCCCCCCCCCCCCCCCCAACGGAGAGCCACCATTCAATTCATCCGCAGATAGTGTAAATCGAACCCCCTATTAATTATTACTTTTTCTCCCCAGCGGGAATAAAGTACACACTTCCCTCCTCCTGCGCGCATTCTGACTTTACTCTCACGCCGGGTAGAAAAGTGATTTTCTCACCACGGAAGGTAAAATAAAGAAGGTGTACCCACGTGCTTACCACCCTCGCCTTCGGATTGGGCGGTAATTCTGCACGTGGGCAAGCCTTCTTTACTATACCTCCCTAGGTGAGAAATATACTATTTCCAGTAGCCCCTCTCCCCTGACTTTTCCCACTTTTTGCCGTCTAGCGTCATCCCCTTCTTATTGTATTGTTTCGCGTAGCCGCAAGTGAGTTGGCCTTACCCCCACCCTCGAGTTAATTAGTTGTTAAAAGGCCTGGATTATCTTTTGTGTTAATAGTTTTGTAATGGGACTAGAATACAGTAGACTCTCGTTAGTTGCACTCTCGATAGTTGCCACTCTTTCCCCTGATTCGCGTTTCAGACGCTCGAGCGATACCCCTACTCCGCCTCCGATCGATATCGTAACCAAAATACGAAAGAGCCATGCTTGTGTACCACACACACGTTGTTTCCCCGGCACAA